CCCCCCCCTCTTGTTATTGCTAGCAAACAAAATAAAATTAAAAATTTAATTAGATTATCATGCACCCACACCGGATGTTACATCATCATCGGAGGTCTTGGTGGTTTTGGTTTAGAATTAGCCGATTGGTTAATAACGAGAGGAGTGAAACATCTCGTTTTAACATCCCGAACTGGAATTAAAAATGGATATCAACGATTCCGATTAAAGTAATTAATCATTTAACTCCCCGTACTCGTTTTAATTAACTCATTTTTAGCATCTTTAAGAATTACGGAGTTGAAACTCACATAAGAAACGATGATATCACCACGAAAGAGGGTTGTAGGACTTTATTGAGTTTCGCTGAAACTTTAGGACCCGTCGAAGGGATATTTAACTTAGCCGTTGTTTTAAAAGATGCTCTCTTTGAAAATCAAACGGTTGAATCGTTTGAGGTCTCGTTAAAACCCAAAGCTTATGCGACTCAATATTTGGATGAAATTTCAAGGGGAGTTTGTGTTAATTTGAAGTATTTCGTTGTGTTTTCTTCGGTTTCTTGTGGGAGAGGGAACGCTGGACAAACTAATTATGGGATGGCGAATTCGATTATGGAGAGGATTTGCGAGAGGAGGAAAAAAGAGGGTTTTCCAGCGCTCGCGATTCAATGGGGGGCGATTGGGGATGTTGGATTAGTTGCTGATATGCAAGAAAACCATAAAGAAGTGGTTATTGGGGGAACTTTACAACAAAGAATTTCAAATTGCCTTCAAGTCCTCGATCGATTATTAAAACAAAACGAACCAATCGTTTCGAGTATGGTTGTAGCTGAAAAACGAGGTGGAGTCGGAGCCAATAACATATTCGACGCCGTTTTAAACATTATAGGTTAATAAATGTCGAGATTAAAAAGCTTTTTTAAAAGGAATTTTTTAGGTGTAACCAATTTGAAAGCTGTGAGTCATTACGCAACATTCCCCGAGTTGGGGATGGACTCGATGATGGCCATCGAAATAAAACAAACTTTAGAGAAAGAGTACGAAGTGTTTTTGAACGCCCAAGATATCCGAAACATGACCATATCAAAGTAAGAAATAATTTAGTAATCTTTTTGATTTAATCACATTATTTTTTAGGTTAAAAGAGTTAGTCTCGGAACAATCCGATGTTGCATCAAAACCCAACCAAAACGAACTCGAATCCGATCTTCCCGAAGATATAAAATTACTTTTTAGGCACATCGGAAACGAAGAAACATCCAACAAAAAAATCGTCAATTTAAAATCTAAATCAGTTTCAAACAACCAAATAATCGCTTTGCCTGGAATTGAGGGGATGGCGGCGATTTACGAGACAATATCGAAAGAATTAACATCCGATTTAATGTGTTTCCAATTTTGTGCCGAAAATCATTCCGAATCAATCGAAGAAATCGCACAATCTCTAATAAAAACCGTTTTATCATCAATTTCTTGCGATAACTTCACGATTATTGCGTACTCTTTTGGTTGTGTGGTCGCAACGGAGTTAATGTTTATTTTAGAATCGCTTGGAAAAACCGGAAAAGCTTTCTTCATCGATGGCGCCCCGGAATTAACGACGTGTTTAGTTAAAAAACATTTTCCATTTTACGACGACGAAATCTTCGAAACAGCGTTATTATGCACCGTAATGACGCGATACATGTCTTTCGATGCGATTTTAAAACATAAATCGGAAATTATAAAACGAAAAAGCTACGAAGATAAAATCAAATATATTATGAGCGTTTCCCCGTTTATTAATCACTCGGAAAATTATGTTATTGAAATGTGTAAGGCTGCGTTAAGCCGATTAAAAGCGATTAGGAAATATGAACCAAGACCGGAAAAGTTAAACTCGAAAATTATTTTAGCGAAACCTTCAAATCAAAGTCTTGAAATCGCGGATGATTATGATTTATCTTTGATTGCAACCGAAAAGGTTGATGTGAAAATATTTGAGGGGAATCATGTTACTATTTTAGAAAACAACGATTTAATTAAGGAAATTAATGATTTTCTTTTGATGTAAATTAATAAATAAACTTTTCCTTACCTTGAAATTTATTTCATTTCCGCGAGTTGTTTCACCTAATAATAAAGAAAAAAATAAATAAATAAGAGGTTATGAAAAAAAAAATTAGGTTATGTTTACCAAAATAATCTCAACGAGATTTATCCACAAAAAAAAGCTTTTACTTCAAATTAAACGATTTAATTCGTTTTAATAACGCTTTAACTCAACAACAATTACTTACTTAATCTTTATAAATCGCGATAAAAACGAAAAAAAGCACCCAAACATAAATCACAAATTAACTAAAAAATAAACGATTCTATTTTGTTTTTAAGTTGATCCAAGTTGATCGGTAAGGTAGGAATATGGTGCCAACTTAAATTTTATTTGAATTAATTAAATAATTTATTTTTAAATTAACAATCTTTATAAATATAAAAGTCTTACCTTAAAATGTATTTCACTTCGGAGTTATTTTACCTGTTAATAAAGAAAAAAAAATTAATTAAAAAAAAATAAAAAAAAAATATGTTGGTAACAACGTGGCGTCATCCAGCCAGAAATTTTTTACACAACAATAATTTTGCATCTTTTACATCAAATCAAACGATTTAACTCGTTTCAATAACTCCTAAACGCTTTAATTCAACAACAATTACTTACTTAATCTTTATACATCCCGATTTAAGCGAAAAAGAAGCACTCAAACACGAAACGCAACAACACGCACTAACTAAAAACGAACGATTCGATTTTGTTTTGAAGATGGTCGGTAAGTCGGTAAGGTAGGAATATGTTCCAATTTAATAATAATTGTAAATTATTTATTATTACACAAATAACTTTACAATAAATAAACTTAAATGGTTTTAATTTCAGGTGAAATCATTTCAGCCCCTCTCAAATTAATTTTATTAATCGCTTTCTCCACCTTGTTAACCCCAAAAAATTCGTCAATTTCCCTCACCAACCCTTTATTTTCTAATATAGAAACATGATTCCCCTCTAGAACTTTAACCTCAACTTTTTGAGTCGTAATAGCTGATAAATTATAATCCTCGGAGATCTCCACCAAGCTTTGCTTCGTCGGCTTAACCAAAAGAATCTTCGATTTCAATTTATCCCCCCTCGGTTCGTACTTTCTAATCGCTTTTAATCGACTTAAAGCAGCCTTACACATCTCAGTAATGTAATTTTCTGAGTGATTAATCGAAGGTGACACACTAATCCCATATTTAATTTTATCTTCGTAAGATTTTCGCTTTAAAATTTCAGATTTATGTTTTAAAATCGCGTCGAAAGGCATATAACGAGTCATTAAAACGCATAAAAGAGATGTTTGGAATATCTCGTCCTCGTAAAATGGGAAGTATTTTTTGGCTAAACGTGTCATTAATTCGGGGGCTCCGTCGATGAAGATCGCTTTTCCACGTTTTCCTAAAGATTCCAAAATAAACATTAATTCCGTTGCGACCACACAACCGAAAGAGTACGCAATAATCGTGAAGTTATCGCAAGATGTTGATGATAAAGCGATTTTTGATAGAGATTGTGCGATTTCTTCGATTGATTCGGAATGATTTTCGGCGCAAAATTGGAGACACATTAAATTTGAGGGTAATTCTTTCGATATTGCCTCGTAAATCCCTGCCATTCCCTCAATTCCAGATAAAGCAATTATTTGGTTATTTGAGATTGCTTTTGATTTTAAATTGATGACTTTTTCGTTTGATGTTTCTTCGCTTCCGATGTGCCTAAAAAGTAGTTTTAAGTCTTCAGGAAGATCGGATTCGAGTTCGTTTTGATTGGGTTTTGTTACAATATCGGATTGTTCAGAGACTAACTCTTTTAATCTAAAAAAAAATCGATTTAATCAAAAAAAATCGATAAATTTCTTCTTACTTTGATATGGTCATGTTTCGGATATCTTGGGCGTTCAAAAACACTTCATACTCTTTCTCTAAAGTTTGTTTTATCTCAATGGCCATCATTGAGTCCATCCCCAACTCAGGGAACGTGGCGTAATGACTCACAGCTTTTAAATTGGTTACACCTAAAAAAATCGTTTTAAAAAAGCCTTTTAATCGCGACATTTATTAACCTATTATGTTTAAAACGGAATCGAATATGTTATTGGCTCCAACTCCACCTCGTTTTTCAGCTACAACCATACTCGAAACGATTGGTTCGTTTTGTTTTAATAATCGATCGAGGACTTGAAGGCAATTTGAAACTCTTTGTTGCAAAGTTCCCCCAATAACCAATTCTTTATGGTTTTCTTGCATATCAGCAACTAATCCAACATCCCCAATCGCCCCCCATTGAATCGCGAGCGCTGGAAAACCCTCTTTTTTCCTCCTCTCGCAAATCCTCTCCATAATCGAATTCGCCATCCCATAATTAGTTTGTCCAGCGTTCCCTCTCCCACAAGAAACCGAAGAAAACACAACGAAATACTTCAAATTAACACAAACTCCCCTTGAAATTTCATCCAAATATTGAGTCGCATAAGCTTTGGGTTTTAACGAGACCTCAAACGATTCAACCGTTTGATTTTCAAAGAGAGCATCTTTTAAAACAACGGCTAAGTTAAATATGCCTTCGACGGGTCCTAAAGTTTCAGCGAAACTCAATAAAGTCCTACAACCCTCTTTCGTGGTGATATCATCGTTTCTTATGTGAGTTTCAACTCCGTAATTCTTAAAAATGCTAAAAATGAGTTAATTAAAACGAGTACGGGGAGTTAAATGATTAATTACTTTAATCGGAATCGTTGATATCCATTTTTAATTCCAGTTCGGGATGTTAAAACGAGATGTTTCACTCCTCTCGTTATTAACCAATCGGCTAATTCTAAACCAAAACCACCAAGACCTCCGATGATGATGTAACATCCGGTGTGGGTGCATGATAATCTAATTAAATTTTTAATTTTAATTGATAAAAATAACAAGATGAGGATATTTCAATTAATCCTGATCATAATAAAACACAATCTTGTTGTACCTCATTGTAATGAAACATAATCTTAAAAGAAACGTTTATTTATTTATTTGTACATGGAGGTAGCGACAAGACAAGTCATTCATTATTTTTTGATAATCGTATTAATCATAGGTGAATAATAATCATAAAAATTAGTTTTTGTACTAATAAAATGTTGTAAATATGTTATTTACTTGGATTAAATACGTTATTTATCGTATTTAATCCAAGTAAAGTCGATACGAAGTAATTTCATAGAAATTTTGACAGTGACATAACCTCAAATTTCATTTTTCATTAATTTCTTAATATAATTCATATGATTTCGATTGAAACGATTGATAACGATAATCTTAACATGTATGTATTATTGACCGTTTACGTTATTTATCGTATTTAGTCCATGTAAAGTCGTTACGAAGTAATTCATTAAAATTTTGACAGTGACATAACCTCAAATTTCATTTTTCATTAATTTCTTAAAATAATTCACTTTGTTTCGGTTAAAACCATTCAAAACGATAATTTTAGCATGTCAAGAACGAAAACCATCCATCATATGGGAGTTTTGATGAAAAATTGGACGAAAATCCGTACATTAAATATTTGAACATATTTTTGAAGCCGGACGTTAAATCTAAAAAAAAATTTTCCTAAATCAGCACAAACAAAGTTAAAGCAACAAAACTACAACATTTCATGCATAAATATTGTTAAAATAAAAATTTAAATAATTTTTGATAAAATTTAATTGGTGAAATTTGACATTTCGAAGTTGGCAATTCCGGAGAAATTTAAATTACGAATTTCAAGTTGAAGAATTTAACCAATCAGAAGCCGTTATTTAAAACGTTTTAGTAATAAACAAACGAAACTCTTATATTAGTGCGATTTCGAACGTGATGAGGAGCGCACGCTTTTTGTCCTAAAGTTAGGTTAGTTGTCAATCACCATTGTGACATAACCTCAAAATTTATTATTTTAATAAGTTAAATAAGAAGATTATTTGAATTAAAATTAATCACCTTTAATAATAAAGAAGAAAATTAACTGGTTCCTGATCCAATTAATCCACTATATCAATCCGATCAAGAATTATTGTTTCCGATTCCTTTGAAGAGCCCAAGTTTCCTTAACCGAGAACTTCAATAACCTACAAGATAAGTTAAGTTATAATTTTCAATTTTATTATTCTTTATATTTCAATTTTCATTTAAAATTTCACTTACCTTAAACATGATTAATTTGATTTATTATTTTGTTTGGTTATGTTATTACAATTTCATTACATGTTTTACAACATTTTATACATGTTGCTTTTATGGGTGTAAAATCGCCCGAATAAGCCGTTAAAAGTAAAAAGAAAGTGCGGAAAAGTCAAAAACCTACCGAAAAATGAGTTTGAAATTTCGATGTGACGTCACGAACCTTCTTTACGACGTATTTTTCACAAACACTGGTCCGAGAAAATTATTTTTCCACATCCACGCACACAACACGAATAAAGTAAGTAAAAATTAAATCATTTTCTCAAATTTAATGAAAGAATTTAGTATTACAACGCATATTTTCGGGTGATATACCCATGTTACTTTGGTTCTCGAGGCATGACGAATAAATGTCTTTATTTACCATCTACCTGCTCTTGTGGATCTGAGTTTTTACCCTTCCCCTGCTCCGAACCCCACCCGACATTTCGGGATTTTGCACTAGTTTAAATGTTAATTAACCTAACTCAATATAATTTCTACACACATTTAATAATTCTCGCAAATTTAATGAAAGAATTAACAATTTGGTTTTGATACAACGCATATTTTCGGGTGAATTTCCCAAATGTTGGGTTACATACGGAGAAGGGTGTGGGTCAAAATATTTCATTCAATTATTTAGCCATATTTTAATTTGATTTGTCCGTATATTTTTTACTAACATAAGTTGTAACTTTTATGGTTTCTATGGTTACATATCAATTTAGAAAAAAGTCTAATTTTTACATAAAAATGGGAATAATTGGTTAACTTTTATAGTTACAGTATAAAATTCGTACGATTGAGGTCCGTTACTACCATCTTTAAGTTAAATTTATCTTATAGATAAACACATCTACTAGCCAATCAGGGCGCGTAAAATAGCCGTAACCATGGTAATAATCCTTTAGATAGCTTAACCAGAAGATGGTAGTAACGAGCATGAGGCTCGTTACTACCATCTTCTGGTTAAGCTATCTTAGGGATTATTACCACGGTTACGGCTATTTTACGCGCTCTGATTGGCTAGTAGATTAATAGGGTTTATCATTAAGATAAATTTATCTAAAGGATGGTAGTAATGGACCTAAGGTCCTAAGGTCCATTACTACCATCTTTTAGATAAATTTATCATATAGATAAACCCATTTACTAGCCAATCAGAGCGGTAATCATGGTAATAATCCCTTAGATAGCTTAACCAGAAGATGGTAGTAACGAGCCTTAGGTCCATTACTACCTTCTTCTGGTTAAGCTATCTTAGGGATTATTACCACGGTTACGGCTATTTTACGCGCTCTGATTGGCTAGTAAATGGGTTTATCTATAAGATAAATTTATCTAAAAGATGGTAGTAATGGACCTTAGTGGTTTGAACATATCCGACGCATTATTTATGCTGAAATAAGTTTGAAAAATCAGTAATAAATTTTTTTAACTCGATCCGGGGACATACTGTATGAATAACGAATAATCTATTTGCATTCAAACGTTTTTAAAGTAACTTCTTACACACTAATGTTCGCTATATTAATAAATTTTTTGTAGAATTAGGTTTACTGAAGCCTTGAGAAAAATTGTATGTACAAAAACAAAATTAATGCCATCTCGGTACAAAACTGTGTATGGCGGTTCAAATAACACGTCTAAAATTGTTTGGCGTGAGGGCAAGTATTTTCAGCTCTTTCTATTCGTACGATTGAAGAATTCTTTTGATGCGTAAAATAAGAAATCATATCGTAACTGATGAGGAGGAACCAACCTGAACAGGAAGCGAACATCACTACAATATCAACGCTGCTGAAGCGTGGGCATATGATAGATTTGACAGGCAGATAAATAATCTGTGTAAAGATGACGGAATCGATATGAAAGGTATTTCAGAAACCTAATCTGAACTCTCTCTATTCTATTAATATAAATATCATAGTGAGGATTCCAAACAATGCTTCCGAAACATAAAATACTATTTACCAAGGCAATTTAATAGTGATTTTTAAAAAGTATTAGTTTGTTTGAGATAATGTTGAAAGAATTTATGTCTATTAAGTTTAACTCACGATTTCTAAACAAAGGACTAGTACAACACCTTTGGCAAGTTATTTTAAAAGATGGCCTGTTTAGTCAAGATTCTAAAATGGTATAACACTTGGCATTTTTCTTTTCCTAAAAAATATTATTGCCTGTTTATCTGCAAAAAACGCGTTATTTAAAAAATTCATACTTTCGTATGTTATTTGTATTTCCTCCAAAGTGATTCAACAACTTTGTTAGAAGATGTGCCACTCAATATCTACAGAGAAATGTGGTTTCAACAAGATGGTTGCCCAGCTCATTATGCTTGTCCTGTATGGGATTGAATACAGAATACCCAGAAAGATGGATTGATTCTTTGGGTCTAAATCCCCTTGATTTTTTTATTAGGATTGCATAAAAGAAATAGTGTATTAAAAACCGATTGAAAATATTGCCGAACTGAGCCACAATATTTATACAGCAGCAGAAGAAATAAATGCAAAGAGATTTGCACAACTAGTAAAAAGATCTTTTCTGTGACGATGCAGAGCTTGTATTAGTGCCGACGGCAAATAATTTATGCATTTGCCTTGGTTTTAAGAAAATAATGCTATAAAATTAATAATAAATAAATTTGTTTGTTTAATTTTGTCTTTAGGTTAACATATTTGAAAGAGTCTTTTTGCAAGACATAAGGGCAACCATCTTGTTGAAACCACATTTTGTAGTTCGTAGATATTGACTGGCACATCTTCTAACAAAGTTAAGAGGAAATAAAAAGTAAATACAAATAACATACAAAAGTATGAGTTTTTTGCAGAAAAACGCAATAATATTTTTTAGGAAAAGAAAGTGGCAAGTGTTGTACCATTTTGGAAACTTGACTAAACAGGCCATCTTTCAAAATTACTTGCCAAGGGTGTTGTGCTACTCCTTTTTTTAGAAATCGTGTGTCAAACTTGATAGGCGTAAATTCTTTCAACCTTAACTCAATCAAATTAATATATTTTTTTGCAAAACTAACGACTTTTGTTGTTTGATTTGTGACTTCTACAGTAGCATCGTTCACAAGGAATAGATTATTAAAAAAATCACTATTAAATTGCGAACATTTCTGACCGTAGTACCTAAACGGGACCGATTTTTAACATTTTCAAAAGTATGTCTATTACCACTTAACTAAGAGACATGGAATTTTTTTTCTCATTTTTACCAAAACAGGTGTGGGTTGGCCTCTCACCCGATACACGCTTGACGTTAAGTTTCGGGACATCCCCTGTATATAGAAATTATAGGCAATGTATTAAATGTAAAAGACTCGGCCGAACGCATTACGAATCAATGTGTTGATCAAAAAGTAATTTATTATTCAAAATGATACCTAAGTCTTTAATAGAATCGACGCGATGCGCAGTACATCAGATTTAAGGTCATCAGCATACATAAGATATCTAGAGTTAGGAAGAGATTTAACTATATCTTGACTACCTTGAGATAACCCAGAAATTATAACGATATGGTCAGAAGAAGTAAGTGCCCACCAATCATGAGTACCTGACTTGGGTTGGAGATATAAGAGGAAACTCACTTCAACAAGACACCCGCGACTCTTACGCGTACCAGAGGATAAATCAAGATTTGAAATAGAAGAAAATTCTAACAGATTGGTCTCAACAGAACGTCCAATTATGGGTAGAATAAATATAAATAGATGGTTGTTTAAGATGCTTAACGATACCAATTGAAATTATCTTACCTTGGACTTCCTTTAAACACTTCAACTTTTCGTTTCATCGTTTCATCTCGCACTTTAATAACTACTTTTCCTATATGTTTTCCAGTTGCCATAAACCGAAAAGCTTCCTCGATTTGATCGCTGTTAAAAACGGTGCGAATTAAAGGTTTAATAGAACCGTTTAAAAGACCGCCTCGGATTAAGTTTGATAACGTCTCTTTATATCCTAAAATTATTATTATTTTTTAATTGGTTGATTAAAAATTAATTTTCTTACGATCAATTCCCGCTGCAAAGAGGTGATCTAACATAATCCCCTCAAATCGAGCCTGTTTCTTCAATAAACTCGAAATTAATTCGTTGTCATTCGCCAAATCGAATTTTCCTATTTCCAAAAAAGTCCCGTTTTTCGCTAAACACCTCACCGAAGCTAAAAGTTTCTCTTCCGCTAAAGAATTTAAAACGAAATCGACACCTTTTCCGTTAGTTTCTTTGAAAATCATTTGTTCGAATGATGTGGAGCGGGAATCCCCGATGTGGTTTGAATTGATTTGGGGGAAATTTTTTTGGATGAAATCGCGTTTTTCTTTTGTGCCGACGGTTGTAAAGATTTTACACCCCATATGAGTGGCTATGTTTATGGCGGCTTGTCCCACTCCTCCGGTTCCTGAATGAATCAAAATTGATTGACCACGTCGCATTTTTCCACGCTAAATTATGTTTCGTATAAAAAATGAGATAAAAATTAAATAAATTGGGATTAATACCATGAAGAAACCGTAATAAACAGTTCCATAAACAACGGGGATTGTAACAGCATCTTCGTAAGACCATCCATTGGGGATGGGCCAAATAAGTTTTGAATCGGCCATAATCATTGTTGATAAAGCACCGCTTACGCACGTCCCCATCACGCGTTTAAACGGATTTGATGCTAAACAACCAGAAAATTCTAAGCCTTGGATACATTCTTGGAGAATTCTATCTTTTGTTATAGCATCTGGAGGTAATTTTCCCGTTGCGGTCATGATATCGCGGAAATTTAACGATGCGTAATGAATCTAATAAATTAATTAAATTAAATCGAAAAATTAAGCTAAGTTTCCACATGCACGGATTATTGACGCCAGTACGAAGACAATTTAGTGGCGCCAGAAATTGTTTCCACATAATGTTATAATTATGTACTGGAACAGTAATAAAAATGGCATCATGTGATGTACGTCGCGCTGGTATCAATGTGGTAGTCTTGACAAATGTGCTTCTTGAAACTGCACACGTTTTTAACAAAAAAAAAGCGTGAACATAGGTAGCGTATGAGAGTTGTTCCGAATAGTAAATTGACAGTTGTTAAAGATGCCGTTGTCAGTAACTGATGTTGCCCGTATTGTTACTTTAATTGAGGATAGCAAAAGTCAGCGGTATGTTACCCATACGTTGGGTATACCACGAACAACAGTTCAGGATACTTGGAACCGATGTGTGGAAACAGGAAATTTTACTTGGCGGCAAGGTTCCGGTAGAAGATGTTGTAGAAACTCGGCATCGTTTTCAAATGGTGCGTGGGGTTGATGTAAGTGAAAGAACCATTCGTCGAAGACTTGCTGAAAGTGATCTGACTGCAAGAAGACCTGCCAAAACACAGCGCCTACTCCAGAGACATCGGCGAGCACGTCTTCAATTTGGGTGCGTACATACGAATTGGGGAATGGAACAATGAGGTAAGGTGCTCTTCACTGACGACGTTCACCTGATGGTCCCTCTGACGTAATGGTTAGTGTTCACATTTATATGTTGTGTTCTGACGCACTCTGGCGATATTTTGAATCAATACAATCGTAGCACTCAGAGAGTTCATACGTGAGTCTATAATGTTTTCCCATGAATCTTCTGATTCAAATTATGAAGAAGATATTCATTTTATGGTACTGGCAACTCTTATCAGAAAAAGAAAAAGAGAGAAGATATTGGGTTCATCCAGTGAACAGAAAGAGAGAGGCTAAAGGCGAATTTCACGGCCTGGTTAAAGAGTGTGAGAGCGATGCTGATAATGTTAAATGTAATTAAATTTAAATCTGACGAGTCATAAGGCAGATGTACATTTGTCTGATCTGTCGTTATGCGTCACTTCCCACTCCACTGCTCTGACGGACATCGGGATCGCTGCTGATGCGACACAACACAAAGCACCACAACACATTGTGACACACAAATATAAATATCACCATAATAAATGTATTCAACCGATACCGTTTTGACGCGTCACAACACGACACGTCAGACAAATATAAATCCGGCTTGAGTGTGGAGATCCATGGAGGTTCCGTCATGGTATGGGCGCATATTTCGACGAAAGCGCATACAGCGCTCATCTTTGTTGAAAATGGCACGCTAAATGCTCACCGTTATATCCAAGATATTCTGCAAGAAGCAGTCGTGTCCTACTCCCATTTTATTGTTGATAAGTAGACAAAACCACTACTCATCCGTAAAAAGGACTTATAATAGAGTGAATAAAAAAAGAAAATGCTCAGAAAAGATTGGGCTACTGTTTGATACCAGGTAATACCCTCTGTTGTAGCAGCTGCACCCAACAGGGTGTTACAAAATTCGAGAAAAAAAGTTTTTCTCATTTTTCTCACCCTGTATATGTTCAAATTAAAATCTGAATGAAAATTCTATCGCAGGATTATTACAAAAGAATCAACCTTTCCATTAAAAAAAGAATCATCAAAATCGAATGCGCGGTTCGCGAGAAAGCCAGCTTTGAAGTTGTGGCTAATTTATAGTGGCCGATTTTTTTTGCCGGTCAGTTTATAATCTTGATGAATAATGGAAAATGTACACCACATATTAAAACTTTATGGTATTCAATTCTACTTCGTATTTTGCTTTTGCCGAGGTTTCGTCAAAATTAGGAACTGTTTTCTTCATAATTTCAACTATCCTTCCGACAGCTAATATACAGTGTGACCCGTTTGAAAGCGGAACACCCTCGTAAAATTTGTATTTATTATCCGATTTCGATAATTTTTTCTTTTAATTGTAGAGCTTAAAAAACTGTATCTTGGGACACTGAGTGATATTTGTCTTTAAAAAAAACAAGGCCTACTATTTCAGTTTTTAGGTGCTAAAAATGAAGAAATCATATTAGGAAATTTTTTACAAAAAATCTGAGTACACCACTGCATTAAGCACCTTTTGAAATGGGCATATACCAAATCTCATCAAAAATGGTTACAAATCAACACCGTTACAGATAATTGAAAAATATAATTTTTTATAAATTAATCTCATCTGATCTAGTAGACCATGACAAAAATGTAATAAAATATAGAGAATAATACAAAACTATTTAACAATATTTAACAGAAATTCAAACAATTTAAGAAAAAAACAACATTCAAGGTATTAATAGAAAATAAAAACTAGTTAAATGTCTGTTGCTTCCACCAATCCACCGTTAAGTTCGATACATTTATTGTACCTTCTTCGTGCATTCATTGTTACATTCCTCAGTTGCTCTGGGGTAATGTCTGCACATGCCTGAACTATTCTAGCAAGCAGTTCATCTAGCGACTGTATCCTTGACCTGTAAACTTTCTGTTTAAGGATTCCCCAAAGAAAAAAGTCGAGTGGTGTCAAATCAGGAGATCTTGGCGGTCATTCAATAAGACGACTACTTCTTCCTATCCATCGATTTTATCCACTACTGCGTTATGCACGGGAGACCCATCTAATTGAAATTTTATATTCGCACATACCAGAGGTGGTAAATTGTTTAGCGCATTCGAAAACTCATTTCTTAAGAAATACAAAAATTTTGTTGAATTTAAATTGCCCTCAAAGAAAAATGGACCAATAATTCTGTTGTCAAGTATTCCGCACCACACATTTATTTTATGCGAATACTGTCGCCTTGCGTTGATGATCCACTATGGATTTTCTGTGCACCAATACCTTGAATTTTGCGATGACACCACGCCATTTGTTGTAAACGTGGCCTCATCGCTAAACAAAATTTCCCTTAAAAAGTTTCTGTTTTCCAAGTATTCACCTTTGAGCCCATAAACAGAATTTTAGTCTTCTCTCTTCGTCTCTTGGTTCAAGAGTGTGTAGAAATTTTGGTTTATAGGGTTTAATTTTATTTTTTGTAAGGCACCTTCTAATACATTCTCTTGGAATATTTAAATCTATGGCAGCCGTTCTCAAACTCGAATGAGGGTTATTATGAAAATATTCCTCTATTTGATTATTATTTCTAATTTCCTGGCGTGGATTTTGAACTTTTAGAATTTGTTTTGATACATTGCCTGTATCGTTGAATACCTTATTTACCCGGTGCTAGCACTAACCGGAGGCATATCTGGATACCTGTTATTAAATTCTATAGCCGCTTTTCTTTTCGAAAGAATATTATCGCCAACAAGGCGTACAATTTCAACTTTGTGTCTAACACTTAGTCGTTCCATAGTTACACCACTAAATTGCACACTTTTTATAAAATTTTTATAAGCGCAAAACTGACAGAAGTAATGCTTTAAATCACTTTCATAGAATTCAATTCTTTTTTTTTTTATTTCCATGGTTTACTAGATAACTATTTTTTTATTTCCATGGTTACAAATGTAAATAGTTTTTGTATTATTGGCTGTATTTTATTTCCTTTTTTGTCATGGTTTACTCCATCTGATCAAATAAATTCATAAAATATTGTATTTTTCAATTATCTGTAACGGTGTTAATTTGTAACCATTTTTGATGAAATTTGGTATATGCCCATTTCAAAAGGTGCTTAATGCAGTGGTGTACTCAGATTTTTTGTAAAAAATTTCCTAATATGATTTCTTCATTTTTAGCACCTAAAAAGTGAAATAGTAGGCCTTG